AAAGGAGGAGTGAAATTCTAAGCATATACTTTGGTTTATATCTACAGAGTCTTGTGAAAGTATTCGGCCCCCTTGAACTTTTCAACCTTTTGCCACATTTCAGGCTTCAAACATAAAGATATAAAATTTTATTATTTTGTGAAGAATCAACAACAAGTGGGACACAATCTTGAAGCGGAATGAAATTTATTGGATGTGTCAAACTTTTTTAACAAATAAAAAACTGAAAAGTGGGGCGTGTAATATTATTGGGCCCCTTTACTTTCAGAGCAGCAAACTCAGTCCAGAAGTTCAGTGAGGATCTATGAATGATCCAGTGTTGTCCCAAATGACTGATGATGATCAATAGAATCCACCTGTGTGCAATCAAGTCTCCATATAAATACCCTCCAAGCCTCCCGGCTCCTGCTCCATCAGAGGAGTCTACACCTGACAGAGCTCCATCAGAGGAGTCTGCACCTGACAGAGCTCCATCAGAGGAGTCTACACCTGACAGAGCTCCATCAGAGGAGTCTGCACCTGACAGAGCTCCATCAGAGGAGTCTACACCTGACAGAGCTCCATCAGAGGAGTCTGCACCTGACAGAGCTCCATCAGAGGAGTCTGCACCTGACAGGTCTCCATCAGAGGAGTCTACACCTGACAGGTCTCCATCAGAGGAGTCTGCACCTGACAGAGCTCCATCAGAGGAGTCTGCACCTGACAGAGCTCCATCAGAGGAGTCTGCACCTGACAGGTCTCCATCAGAGGAGTCTACACCTGACAGAGCTCCATCAGAGGAGTCTGCACCTGACAGAGCTCCAGAGGAGTCTACACCTGACAGAGCTCCATCAGAGGAGTCTACACCTGACAGAGCTCCATCAGAGGAGTCTACACCTGACAGGTCTCCATCAGAGGAGTCTACACCTGACAGAGCTCCATCAGAGGAGTCTGCACCTGACAGAGCTCCATCAGAGGAGTCTACACCTGACAGAGCTCCATCACAGCCCAGCTGCACCTCACAGAGCAGCACAACGCTGCAGCTTCTGTGCTCGGTAAGAACAGATGCAACATGTTCCACATCACTTTATTTGTGCCGATAAGGACTTGATTTATTTTATTTTTAAAGTAAAAAAATAAAATGTTGAATAAATACTGAATTGGGATGAAATTATGTACTTTGTACACAGGGTCCCAGTTACAGACAACAAAATGTAAAAGAAAAACAGTAATAAGATCTAAGATATGAATTAAGAAAAATATCAACTAAAAACATCTACTAATAAAACACTAAGCACTAATAGCAGTAAACAAA